AAAAAAAAGAAGAAGAAGAAGATTTAGAACCTCACGTCATAAAGAACCCTACATGTAAATGGGTGCTAGGTGAGTTCCAAGCACTTTCTTAGTGTCAAGGAAAAATAACACTTTGTTAAACTTTTGAGCCTTTAGAATCTAAGTTTATCTCAGTCACTGATTCTAGTTTAATTTGGTCAGTGATGTCGACTACTTTACTGATGTAATGTTCTAAAGTTGGCATTTTATCAGAATTCATTGCACACTAATTAAAACAGAAATAATTGGAAGGAATTGTACCCCATTTTTAGCCTCAACAGAATGCTCATCGTCCATGTGGCAACAGAGTCCTAAGATATCAAAATATTCCGAGCAGAACGGGCATGAGTACTCCTCTCTTATATCATCATCCATGTCAATTTCCTCAAAAGCCATCAACATTTCAGCATCAATACCGTCCAATCTCATTCCCACTACAGTATCCAAGCCCAAAAAAAATAAAATAAAATAAATAAATAAATAAGAAAAGAAAACCATCAAAAAAATGTAATCTTCGCCTTGAAGAACCCATTTATTTGTTTATAGCTATATGGAAATAAAATCCGAAACACATAAAATAGCCCACGCACAAATTCGATGTTATTATAAAGTATATTGACCTAAACACCCCATAAAAATGGAATCTATGTCACTAATATAGTTCATTTAACAAATTCAAGAATCCCAAACGGAAATTACACAATATAAAAAGTGGAAAACAGGATGAGATGTGTTCACCAGATCGAGATTGTGAATTGAACAAATTGCGCTTGGATGCAGAAGAAAGGCGAGCAGCCCATGAATCAGAATCCATAGTTTTCTTTCTTTGTATTTGAATTGAAAATTTGCTGGGTGTCTGAACTCTTCTTTGCTAAGTCTTTTGTAGTGATTTCTTGACTTGGGAATTTGCAAGAAGTGAAGAAGAAAATGATTACGTGATGAAACTGAAGGGCTGAGCACAGTACAATTTAAATCCACCGAAAGTAAAGACAAAGAGTTGTCTTCCACACAAGCTCCCCGGCCCAATTTTATAACCTGCTTTTAGGTGTACCTGTCGGGTCGGGTCGGTAACCACGGGATATTTTTCAAACTAGCCAGATTTATTAGATCCATTTGAATTTTTTATGGAAAAGTCTATTTTACTAATGAATTTCTTTATTGCAAGTCATATCCTTCTTTTATGAATGATTTTAATGATTGACATATTATATTCTTATATTTTCGATTCTATCCAACAAATCTATCTTTTGATCTAGTACATTAGCATAATCTATAATCTTTTGTTTATATTCCATTATAAGTTTTTTATATTCTTCAAATGGTCTATTTCTATTTTCCAGTTGGG